GCTTCTTAAAGTGATAAGCTTTTCGAGGTAATGATGTGTCCGGTCAATGATGAAGCCGAAAAAGAGCACAACACCTGCAAGATCATGAGGTCAAAACGTGATTCCAATCATCACAACAAATTTCACTCAAATCCTCCCAAATTTAGTGAACATCAGCAGTATCAAGCACAACTATGGAACCACTGGAATGGACACAATCATAGAGATCCCCCTTGCCAAAAGATATGTATCGCACAAATCAGTTAAATACTTATGTAGGAAATATACCAACAAATTGTTCTTAGTTTTTTCCCACTCACTAAAATCACAGCAATCTTAATTCATTCTTTGCTAATAACTACTAAGATAAGAGCAAGAGCTGAAGTGGGGATTATAACTCTGGGTACAGGGGAAGAAGATAACTAAATTTACCCCAATTTTTCTATCTAAAACATATCTATCTACACTGAGAATCAATCAAAGAAAAGAAAAGAGAAACTGACCCATAAGAGAAGCCTCAAGCAAGTGTGTTCTCCAGAGGACTTGATCCATAGGAGACATTGTCCCAAGTTTGGCACCCTTGTTCTGGATCTTAATGATATTCATGAGATTCGACAGGAGGATCACAGACATGGTTCCAGCGATGGTTTTCACAGTAGCAGGACCTTTCCCCAATTTAAGCTGGTCTAAGCTCTTCATTACAAGCTCCCTTAAAGGACCAATCTTCACCAATAGTAAGAACGCAATCGCACCTTCTACGAACAGAACCAGGAATAGTAACTGAATCATGTCTGATTCCCCCCCTTCCCAGTTCCGACCAAAAGGTAAAGTTTGTGCCTTTAAATCAAAAATTCACTCGCACTGTAAAAACCCTAAACTCTCGTCCTCAATAACAATTCTGGGCATGACACCTTTGGAGCTGAAACCCAATTCCCAGATCGGGAAACGCTAAAACAAAAACAAAATTGGGGGCTCTCTAAAATTCAGTTGCTTCTAAACGAATTCGGCAGCTATATCGTTTGGTACCTCCAAGAAACCATGGATTAGAGAACAAAAAAAAACTTAAGAAATTGACGAAGACGATCAGTATCGCACACGGCAGGGCTAAGGATGTGGAGGAGGTCAGCAGCGAGTTCATAGAGTACGAACGAACCAAGTGTTATTTTGCTTTAACCTTTAGAGAGGTCAATACATTTGTGATTACTGGTTTGACATAAACTTGAGATTATTGTGGGTCTGTGACCAGTCAAAAAGTGGAATTGTACATGTCCGTTGAGTAGAAAAGAAAACACTAATTGTGTGACCACTCTTGGAAAGATCTAATTCTTCTAAAAAACTCGCATTCTTCTTATACTAGTTTCTTCATAAGTTTTTGATATATTTACACTTCTTCATAAATTCAAAATCGCTTTTATGGTAGGTTAAAGATAGTAGTAGAAATGGAATTATGGAAGTGGAGTGGGTATTATAGTTTGGGTATTAAACTTGTTAATCAATGATTTTGCATATTTCGTCGATTTTTGATTACTTACTACTTACTAGCAGTAATCGAGGCTAGAGTATGCGTGTGACCGCGCCATCCCAAACTCTTCTACCACCAACCTTTATTTTTTTAAGTAATGGAGTACCTAATTAATTACACTAAACAGTATTTTCAATATCCGAAAACAAGTGGTTTAAATTTTTAATGTGATGGACCGCTAAAGTCAAATACTCAAAACATATTAAATTTGGTGCTTTTACAAGTTGGGTTTTGTAGCCTTTAGGCATAATACATAGACAGTCATTGAAGTCGTCGTCCCCATTAGGGCATATGCAAAGGTATAATACATTGAAGATTGTTCTTAGGAGAAAAAAAATTAAAATATTATAAAAGCATTAAGTAATTGATTATTGGTAGAATATGTTTAGAACATAGGAAATAATAATTTAATAATCAAAAACTTTAAATGTTTTTTTTAAATTAAAAAAAATATTTGAAATTGAAAACATTACAAAACTAAACACTTGTATTTTTTAGAGTTGTAATTTTTGTTTTGGTATATAATGTACATTTTAGACCGGTTTATTTGTGTGATTGGATTGAAAAAAAAGCCCAACACTTAAAAATGCTACCCACTCAGAGACGGACACGTCACCCGGAGAACACCCTTAAAACAGTTCTCGCCTAAAATCACTTCTTCAGTTCTTAACCCTCGAAACCCACTTTTAATTATTAAAAAAACTGTAAGAACAGGCCCAATGTTTCTCTCATACATCCACGATTGAATTTATATATATTAAAAACATATATACGATAACATATATATCATGTGGTAATTAATTAGATACTAATATAACAAAATACAATAATTACAGTTGTAATCATGTTGGCATTCACCCGCTAACCTCAGAGACGCCAAAATAAATTAATACGATACTAGTTGTTTTTTTTTTCTTTTCTCTCTCTACTACTACATGCTAACAAAATAGTTTATTTTAGAATGCCTCGGATAATCGTACTTATCAATGGGTGTTTAGGAATTGTAACTGCGTAGTTATTTCATATCGAACTATGACCCCAACGTCATTTTCTGCCCGCCAAGTGGTGGGCGAGTGGTAGGACCAGTTCGGAGTTGAGGGTGAAATCCCCGAATCTGGGTTCGATCTTCCTCCCTCGCTGTTATCAACACTTTGTTGGGAAGTTTGGGCTTGGACTTCGGCCTAGACAGTTTACCTGGTAGTCTGGTAACAGGCGATCTAGCTACCCCCGAGCATTAGTCGGAAAGCATTCCAAACTCGGATCAGGCAGTGTGGTAGCCCATCCCTCGGGGTGGTAGTGAGTTCACTCTGTAGCACTCTGGTGCGTTCTTACCGAGGCTGACCGGATCAGCCGATCGGGTATATCTAAAAAAAAAAAAAAAGAAAAACTCACTTCCAATTTAAACATGAAAGGTAGTTAATCATGTGGTTCATGTGAAATCCCTAAATTTTGTTCGTAAGGCGTCTCTCTGGGACACGTGGAAGCGCGTGGCCTTGAGACGCGGCCAAGCCACGTCACACGCCGTAAGGTTTTGAAGGAGTCAATGTAGACTACTAGACTATGAGAGAAGAAAGGGAGACATTCAAACTTTACAGAGAGTAACACGAACCGTCAACGCCTTTATATATACACGCACATTTTATGTATCTCTCTGATATCTCTCTCTGTTTCCGACCTAACCATTGTTGAAGCTTTTCTTCATTTCTCGTTGTGGATCAAGAAATATGGCAGTAAGTTGGAAAACTCTTTTGTATCTAACAAAACTGTGTTATCTCTCCCTCTCGTTTGTTATCATCTCAAATCTTTATATCAAAAAATGTTTATGATGAAACCATCAGAGTTTGTCGGGATTTTAGCTTATCGATCAGAATTTGCCCGTTCTTTTCCCAATGAATGTTTAAATAAGTTGTTTGATCAGATCAGAACAGAGATCTGGGTCTTTGTTTCATATCAGTTGACTTTCGTATATATTCTTCTTCTGAATTCAATCTGTTAAAGTATGTGATGGGAAGCTAGAGCTAGTTCCCATAGTTCTGATTAGGGTTTGTATACATGTCGATGTCTTGTACCCCAAGTTTGATATTTCAAGTTGTCTAAGCTCAGAACCCTTTTGAGTCTTTAACCATTTTCAATGTTGAATGATTGATTGCAGAACCGTCCACACGTTCCAAAGTTTGGGGACTGGAACAACCAAGACCAACCATTCACGGTTGTCTTTGACAACGCAAGGACGAACAAACGACAAGACTTGTACGAATCTATTGAGAAACCTGAGACCAAACCTCAAGAACAAGCTCCTCCGCCTCCTCAGCCTGCTAGTAGAAATCAAAGACCGGAACCCCCAAAACCGGTCAAGGAGGACACGCCGAGAGCACCTCCACCAGCGGAAAAAAACAGAGTCAGAGCTCCACCGGCGGATCAACTCTACGGAGGCGGGGGCAGCGGAGGCGCAGGCAGGAGTGGAAGTGGAGGCGGAGGTGGACTATATGGAGGTTATGGAGGCGGATCAGTCGGGAACCAGCGGCAGCCACCAGCTCCTCGTCCTGCGCAGCCTAGACAAAATCTCAGAGGCGGCAACAACGGAAGGGTATGAACACACACACACACTATATATGAACTTCGATCTTGGTTTGCATTTTGCATTAACATGTTATTATATGATTGAAGAAGAGTCACATAATAATATAAGATATATGTGATATGAATGAATTAGTTTTGCTAATAGTCATTATTATGTTTTGTAGGGAGGGACAACGATACCGCCATTCCCAGGATCACTAGGTGCAGGGGAGAACATGAGTTACACACACATTTTCGACAAAGTCAAAGAAGAGAGAAACGAAGGTGTCAGACCCTACGGCGGAACAGCCGGCAACACTCCTTCTCGCCCCATCAACAGTCAACATGATCCATCTCCCAAACAAACCTCCTCCTCCATGGTAATTTGTTTATTTGCTATACAATGTGTAATTAGAAACACAAATAATCTGATATCGTTATAATTAATTTGTGTTTTACTGTGAATTGGAATGTGCAGTTCTGCTGCTTCTCATGGTGCCGCAAGGGATCTAAATATTGAAGACAATGTACATATTTATGAACTTCTTCTCCTTTTCCCTATTTTAATTGTTTGGGATACATCTTTTTTTTCTTTTGTAACAAAAAGAAAGAGTGAAGGTTTTGGTGACAACGTTGGAGCTTCTACAACTTATTTTTAATTATTTAAAATTTGTTTCTCAAGTATGGATGGTAGTTTGTTCGTGTTGTGTAATTGAATTTTGTTATGAAAAAACTAAAAAGAAAAGAAAAGAATTTTGTCTATTTCAGTTACCGACAAAACATCTTTATAAAAAAAGCCCACGGGCCTTGGTCAATATTTGGGAGGTGTAGTAGTAAGTAAGGCCTTTGGTCTAAGTAACCAACGAATAAAAACAAGTGTCCTTTAACAAAGCGACGACTGTACGATGTGGCATGTGAATTAGTTTGGAAAGTACAAGTTAGGACTAATCGTGGAATTGATGATACTTGATAGTGGTCTCAACCACACAAAAAAAGTGTAATGGAGTCAAAACAAATCTCATACTACTAAAGTAGTGTGATCCAGTGTAACCATATTTCGTCAAAACTCTTTTGATAATTATCCTTTGAACCCTTTCGTTTCTCTCATCTCACTCACTCTCCAATTCTGCTTCATCTTCCGCATTTCAAAGGTACAAGCTTTGAATTTCTGCCTCTCTATGTCTGGGTCTGTCGATTGAGTTCTCTATTTTTGTCTCTTCTGTTTGCTGCTTTTGTTATTTCTTCATGGGTTTTCACTTCCACTGTCACTGGTGGTAGATCTTCCACGCTCAAGTAAACTTTACCGCCTTACTGATCATTTTCAAGTTTGAATTTTTTTTTTGGTTCCGTTTGACTAATTTTGACAAAAATCTTGAATTTTTTTCCCGAGTTCTTATAATTCCTGGGGAAATCTGATGAAATGTGTCAAAATCTTTGATTTTTTTGTTGAGAAGTTAATCTTTGTCCTTTTTTTTGTCCGGAGATGACCTTGACCTAAACTTGAGAGTACCCTAATTCAGTAGTGACTCATACTATTTGTGACTGTAAGGTTGGCTTAACTCTGTGTTGAAAGATGACTTCTCGGGTGGTGAGGACTAATATGAGACTTCGAAGGAGGGATGGTGTGAATGTGTCTCAAAACGAACACCAGGAAGGGACTGAACAAGCTCCAACGGTGCCTCAGATTGTGTCTACTCCTCCTAGGGTTAATATAGTTGCTATTGAAGATGATGATGATGTTGTTGAATCAACTGCATCTGCTTTTGCTCAGGTCTGCTCTCTTCCTTTCCTTTGTTTTCCCCTTTTTTCCAAGTCATGGTGTTTATGTAGAAGATTATAGATCTGTGTTTCATTCTTATTCCAGGCTAAAAACAAATCGAGAAGTGCACGCAGAGGACCTGTAGTAGTTGATGTAGAGTCAGGTGAATTAACATCTTTTACTGTTCTTTTTTACATAGCTAACAGAATTTGAATGGCTCATTTGTGGTGCAGTATCATGTCTTATATAGTTGGGAGAATACAATTGTGTTTGTTTGTTCACTTTTGTTACTGTGATGGTATGAGTACAGGTGGTACTAATAGAGGGACAAGGCGTCGCTCTGATCAAACTAGTGCTGACTCGGTTGAGCTTAACAAGCCGGTAAGAGATGTGGTTGTTTATTTTTTTAAGTTTTGCTGTTTGGAGTTTGGCTCACCAAGTTTCATTTTTCTTGTTCAGAGAAAGTCCAAGGCTGTGGCTCCTCCTGTAGAGGAACCAAAATTTAATTGTCCAATCTGTTTGTGTCCATTTACTGAGGAGGTTTCAACGAAGTGTGGTCATATTTTCTGCAAAGCGTGCATAAAGAATGCGTTATCTCTCCAAGCTAAATGCCCGACATGTAGGAAAAAAATCACTGCTAAGGACCTTATCCGGGTATTCCTTCCAACTGCCAGATGAATCATACAGAAACATCACCAGTACTCATGTAAGTCTAGCTAATGAGATTTGTCTTTTGTGTTGAATTCTAAAAAATGCGCCATTCAGATCCTTTTCTCTCTTCTCTCTTGCAGGGTTAATGGTCTATTGATTCTATCCTCCAACAATGAAGAGATGTTATTGATTCTATCACCCAACAATGAAGAGATTTTCAGTAGTTGTAGTTTGTTATATCAATATCGTTCTGTTTTGTAAGAGAATTATCTAGGAGTCATGGAAGACCTATTTTTCTAATGGAGATCATTCATTGGTGATCTTCATTATTTGAGTAGTTCCTTATTGCTTAGTGATTGTTGAGATATTTTAGGGAAGATACAGTATTGTTGAATCTTAAGAAAACATTCTACATCCTGAGCCTCTGGTATGCGCAGTTATGTTCTCACTAAGGTTCACTAGAAGGCAGTGAATGGCATCTGCACATTTCTCTGTTGGTCCACAGTTTCCTCAAATATTTATGTGATAAGTTTGCACTTTGTGTTATCATTCACATGCAATCATTGACTCTGCAGATCAAAGAACACGCCCAAAAGCCGTGGCCATATTTATTGATCATTAGCTTCACTGTTCATGATAATTGTTTGCAAATGCTCATTACTTGTTCCTCTATGGCCTTAAACAATAGACCCTAACTATGTTCTGATAGCAAAAACGAAAGTACTTTTTAACTTCCAGGAACTCACAATCAAAGATTGCTTTCAGGGCTTAAACCCGATTGATTCAAGATTATATGTTTCCTATTCGTTGTGTTTTCTTCAATATGTCTGCACAAGAGTTAAAATAAATTTGGTTATACAAGAATGAGAGATATCTAAATCTAAACAAAGATGTTTCTCTTTCTATGAAGGTGTGTGTAGCTTTCTCGGGTCTGTATCGACCTCAGAACGCCCATCTTGGTGAAGAACTAATAGCTCTAGGTCTAGGTACCGGTTTGAAAATCTGTTGCTCTGAACTATTGTTCCTTTTCTTCATGATGGATGAGACAGTTGGGCTGTAATAGTCATTACTCCTCTGTGACATTGCTCCTTGTGAATGCATCTTCTTTCCATGGACGAAGCTTCTCTGTTTCTCCAGCATTTCTCTTCTACCATTCGAACTCTTCTGAGGAGTTCCCCATCTGCTGGAGCTCACACAGCTTTGGCTCCTTCCAACTCTCTCATGATGAAACTCGCTTTTTCTTGGAGGAGTTGGGTAGTTTCGGCTTTCTGCTGTTTCTGCAGAATACATCGTCTCTTCCTCGCTGCTGTATCCATGATTGTTATATACATAGTGAGCTGCGGCTGGTGGTGAACTTGAGATGACCTCACTGAGATCACCGTTTACTGAACCTGTCGAAGCAATCTGCGCATCTGATCCCTCAGAGACAATCTCAGCCTCTTCCACTACGTGGTTACCCTGTAGAGAGTTGAGCTCAGGAAGAAAGGTTGTAGCTTTAGGTATCCGTGGAGGAAAGTTGATGTCCAAAAGGTGTACTTGACCAGTCTCATTTCTTAAAGGACCAGAAGTCAACTTTGGCGATTCATATATCTCAGGGGTCGGGATACCCTGTGCATGAGTAGTAGTTCCGCCACCTTGTGGATTGGTTTTTGAGGTTTCTTCTTCTTTTTCTTCCTCAGCAGCTATAGAAGAGCTCGGATGAGTTTGATCTCTAGTGTTAGATGAAGATGGTGTTCCAACATCAGCAGAGTCGTTTGGCTTGAAAACACGGCGCATGGTGAATGAAGTACAAGAACGCTCACTCTTCTGACCAGAAGACATTAACCGAATAAGAGGCAACTTGGGCTTTGAAGAATGTTCATCCAAACTACCTTCCCAATGCTGATTCAGCCAGTCACAGATTACTGGTATTGGTATACCAAACTGCATCATCAGTGGCTTGTTGTTATCTTTCTTCAAAGACGAAGAGGAAGATGTCGAGGTTGAGGTTGGTGATGTCGATAGTTTCCTCGGATCACAGATCATGAATGCGAGATTCCCTTGAACATCAAATCCAGCAGATCCAGGACTCCAAATCATTTCATCAGTCGAGAGCTTGATGAGATTGTCGGTAGCTACAACTAACTTTCCCTCACCGATCTTGAGTTCATTCTGATTGGCATAGCCTAAGAGGTACACCACACTCCCTAGATCCAGGTTTGGTTTGGAACATGTCTTCAGGTAATGTGGCTGTTGGGTTTGGCTCTGGGAATTTGAGTCTCCATCAACAAGGTCTAAGCCAACAATAGTGAGATCAATAACCGAACTTGTAATGAAAAACCTGCAAACGGCACCAAATAAAGATGACAACATTCATTTCTCATAGCTTAAGAACAGAAAACATCATCATTGACCAAACAATCCACAATTCAGATTGATCTAGAGCTTGTTCTTATTATGTTTGATGCAATCAAGAAAATTCCTTTTTGGGAAATATCTGAACAAATGAGTTTTCATGTTCCAATAATTACATAATGGAATATCAAATTTTTGGTTTAAAGTTTATGAAATTAAAATCAAAACTTACCCAAATTCAGCTACAGATCCAGAATCATTACCATATAGCGTAAGTACAGTATAAAGCTCTTTTCTTTAGGTTCTTTTTTGAAAAGCTATGAATTATTTTTTGAAAATTTGAAGAAGAGCCAAAAAAAATTATGGCATTGAATCAAAATTTACCCGGATCGTGCTACCGACAATACATGAAAATCAAAAATCAAATTTGAATCAAACTCAAGAGTAAAGAGAGAGGTGGGACCTGTGAGGGAAGAGAGCGGCGGCGACGCCGTTCTGGAGGCGGACCTCGGCGGTTTCGGTGGCGGAGATGGAAGGGAGATTGAGGTGAGTGGTCAGAAGAAGATTCCGGTGAATAAGGAATCCCGTACCGGAAGTAACACCATTTGGTCCGGAGACAGAGATTCGAGCCATCGCCGGAGCTTTGCCGGAAAAAATGGAAGCTTTCATCTTCTCGCTTTTGCCTACTCCTTTACAAAAGCACCATGAGTCCAATATCACTCCCATTGATTCTGCTCTGAGATGGGTTTTGTTTCAAATTCCCTAATTTGGCAATCTGGATTTTGGGAGAGTGTTTGGATCTGAAAAGGATGGGAATTTAGGAGATAAGTGTGAATTGGTGGTGAGTTAGTAATAATGGGATTATGGAGACACAACACATGTATGTGTCTGTGTCTGTGTCTGTTTGTGCTGTAAAAACATCAACTTTCACCGGATTTGGTCTCGATGAAGACCGGAGAATGGGAGAAAACTCAAGAAGAGGCAAGTGAGAGAGAAACAAGAGACAAGGGAATCGTGAAATGAGTAAAGAGATGTGCTTCTTTAAGCTGGGGACTTCTTCTTCTTCTTCTATCACTTTTATTTTTTCCTTTAATTCAAAAGAAAATGTATAAAAATTGGGGAAAATGATTTCTTTATTTGGTTCAAGTGTGCCATTTTGTAAGAAGAAGCAAACAGAGGAAAAGTCTAGAGTGACAGACAGGTCAGGGAGGATCTTGGTCCATGTGATGAACATGGATGGACTTTTTGCTTATTATTTTTGATTAGTGTCTTTTTTTGCTTATTATGATTAGTGTTTTTTGCTTAACGTTTTCTTTGCTTGTCAATTTGTCTAATCATGGTTTCATTCACTTAAATCTCTCTTTGATATCAATAGATTTGGACATTTATCCAAATTGTTACCAGTTTAACCATTATAGCAAAAAAAGTAAAATCAAAACAACATTTCCATTTCAGAAATCTAGCTTAGAAAAAACTTGAAATAGTTAGATGTTGTTAGATTGATTCAGTTATTGTTACAAGTCAATTTATTATCAGCATTGAAGTCAAACTTTTTTACTTCATAACAAACCAAACTAGAAAATCCAATTCAATCAAATTTTATTTGAGCATTTAAGTTATCTCTCAAGTAGTTTAAACCTAGGAAGCACGGAAGCTCCGTCCGTAGTCCGATTCCCGCTTCGGAAGCTAAAACAGAATCGGAAGCTTCAGGAAGCGCCCGGAAGCATGGTGGAAGCGCGATTCCGAAAAAAAGGAAATCGGAAGCGTTTTGGAAGCTATGATTCCGTTTAGGAAGCGTTCTATTTTTATGCGATTCTGATTTTGGAATCGTTATTAAGGAAATATTTAGGAAGCGTGATATATTTTTTGTATTTCTTAATTAAATATGAAATTAGAAAACCCTAATTACAGTTTACTAAACAAGAGAATATCAATTGTGGCTAAATTTCGTCTTTGGCAAAACTCTTGTTGGGATTGACCCATTTGATTGGCCCTGCAAAAGAGAAAGCTAGGTTAGTGATGATGAAGAACAAGGAAGTTCTGAAGTAGAACAAGAAGAAGAAGCTGTCATGGTTGAAGAAGAAGAGAGGTCAACTAAAGAAGAAGAAGGAGTCAACGTAAAAAGAAGATGTGTTTTGAGTTAAGAGATGGAGTGGGCCTAAGTGGTTAAGGTGTGGCCCAACAGAAAAAAGGTGTTGTCTAATGGGTCTAACTAAACCCCATTCGTAGAAGTAATTATAATGTCCAAGTATAACTAAGCGTTAAGTGATTGTTGAGAGTGTTTGCTAATGGTGATGAAAATGAAAAGGAAGACGATAGTCCAAATCTTTGACTTATGCGTTATGTTTTTTTTTTTAATCTCTAATCAACTTAATTAAGTATTGGATCTCTTTTATTTAAGACAAGAGTTATTTAATCACATTTGAGTTATTTAATTACATTTGATTATATATATATATATATATACACGCTTCGTATCTATATCGTAAATTTTTGAAAAAATCGTTTCCACGCTTCGCTTCCCCGCACCTGCTTCTGATTCCATGCAACTTAGGTTTAAACTTTAAAGGCTAGTCAGCTACAATTTTTGAATTATACCAAGTAACACTAGTTGGATTCACAACTTATTTATTATATACACGAGAAAAAATGTTACAAACGATATTCCAACAAAAAGTCAATTAACTCGAACTTGTCAGAATTGTAATATTGTTCAATTCAATTCATCATGTTTACAACACAAAAATAAATCCAATTGCAAGTCCTTTGCCTTTAGCGCAGAAGAAGTCTTCTGCCTCCGCCATATCCTGCAATATAACAATAGCACCTAAACAAACTAGTACATAATCAACACTAAGAACAGCAAGGAGTACAAGCACTAAGCAATAACTTAATTTAGCCTTAATAAGCTATAAGAATTCGAGTTAACAAAGACAGAAAAGAGTAAAGAAAGTACATGCTGCAGAAAAACTGCTTCTTTAGGACAGGTAGGGAGCTGTATTAGACCGATTCCAACCATTAATAGACTATAGCATCCAAGGGACACTACAAAGTATATAGGTAGCTGGTGCAAAGATATACATTAGTAATATTGACTAGCTCAGAATAGCAATAAGCAAAAATGAGAACAACAGAGTCATTACTCGCCAACAATGTATGGCTCCGAGCAATAATTGCAGCCTACAAAAGAGCAACCAAAAGGTAGAGACTGCTACCAGCAGGCTCAAAATCTTTACAACATGCTTCATTGTCCTTGAAACAAATCTTATGTAAGATTTGAGTATTACAGTGTTAAGGCTATAGATACCTGAAAAGAGGACTAAACTAATGCATTCTCACAATTTCTTGCATATTTGGAGCTGGTCACTAACTCAAATTACTCAACTCAAAATGATACTAGTAAGAGGGTGCCAATAAATGAGATCTTAGAAGTAAATGAGATCTTAGAAGTAAATGACCTCAATGATTCCTTCAGATAACAGAATGCTAATCCCAATCCACTAGGCATAATTTCCACACATCAAAAGCAACGTATGTACAGACCAGAATATAGCATAGTCCTGGTAGCTCATAGAACAATACACTGCAACCCAAAACATCAAAATAGGGGAACAAATTCTCAGGGGCTCCTCAAGCTCCAAATTTTGTCTCAAATACTCCTCAATGGTAGAAAGACAAAATTACCCTTAATGAGGGTTGATTTCGGGTGATAAAGGTTAAATACAATTAAATCGGTAAATGTTCAACGAAAAACACAATAACTCAGTGGTTGCGAGCTCCATGCGCACGCGCGCCCCCCAGAGTTCGAATCCTTTTATTCGGGTTGTAACTGGTACAACTAGGGAATATTCGGGTACAACTAAGTTGTGGTACAACTAGGAGGAGGTACAACTAGGTGGTACAACTAGGTGGTACAACTAAGGTCTGGTACAACTAGGAGGGTACAACTAGAATACCAGTTGTACCACGTATACCTAGTAAAAGGGTAGTTTCGTCCTTTCATTAAAAGGAGGAGAGTATGTAGATTAGAAGAGAGTATATAGATTAATTCTTTGACTCTGAGGAGCAATTGAGATTAGTCTCCAAAAAAAACGACTTCTCACAGTTTCTTGGATCACAACCGTCAGGAACTCAATAGCAGAACCTGAATACATGACTTCTCATAGTTCCTCAGAATTACAACATTCAATCCTCAGGAACTCAAAGCCATTAGACAAAAAATTTCAAAACATTTAAGGCTAAAAGAATTGAAAACCTGAATCCTAAAATTCATTAAGCTGCCCCAAAACCAAGCTTCTACTAACAAACAAACTCCAATTAACTATCCAAATCAAATCATGTACCCAAAAATCGAATTCAAATTTGATATATCTAGCAATGATCAGCAGCCATCAGAATGAATTATTAGAAAATGATTTTGTCACGGTTCATTCAGATCAGAGTTAACCTCCAATCATCCGAAACTCAAAACCCTTGCGCAAAATTTTCAATCATCATTTGGCAACTTATCGATCAAAGCCAACAACGAAAATAAACACAAGACTCATTCTGTAAAACAAAAAAAAAATCACCACCAAAAAGCTACATAAAACCAACCGAGCCTTTCTTCTAAAGCAAACGAAACCAAAACATTCAAACAATCAAAAACATGCACCACTATTTGCGGGAGAGATCGAACCTTTAAGCTCACAGATCTCGCCGCCACTCTCATAGTTTCCACCTTTCGGCTGTTTTAAACAGTCGTGTCATTAGGGTTTTTATTCAGGTCTTAATATCATGGGTATAATCGTCATTTCACAAAATAAGCCTTTATCTTGGATAAGCTAAACCGGTTTCCAAACAGATCTTGCTTCGTTTCAGAAATTATTACGATTGCAATCCCTAATCCCTAATTTAGAAGTCCCGGTGCGCTTTTGATCAAATCGGCGAATTTCACGGCATGGCTACGGCTGTTGGAGGCGGAAGCGATGTGGAGGTTGGATTTGCTAAGCTTCAAGGTGAGGATTTCGAGTACTATATGCAGTCGTACTCCATTATACTCGGCCGGAATTCTAAGAAAGCGACCGTCGACGTTGATCTCTCATCCCTCGGCGGCGGGATGAACATTTCGCGCAACCACGCTCGGATCTTCTATGACTTCACGCGACGCCGCTTCTCTCTCGAGGTCCTTGGCAAAAATGGTTGCCTCGTTGAAGGTGTCCTCCATCTCCCTGGGAATCCTAACGTCAAGCTCGATTCACAAGACCTTTTGCAGATTGGTGACAAAGAGTTTTACTTTCTCCTTCCGGTTCGGAGCATTTTAGGTGGGCCATTGGGACCTAGGCATCACGTCTCAGGGCAAACTAGTGTTGTTCCATACCATAATTATCAGTCAGGTCCGGGTTCTGGGTCGGGTAAAAAGGGTGTCAGGAGTAGAGAGTTGTATGAGTACGATGATGAAGATGATGATGAAGATGACGATGGGGAGGATATCAGAGGCAGTGGAAAGAAAACAAGGAGAGATGGACATGAAGTTTATGCTTCCGGAGGTAAAACCAGATTGCTTATGATAGCTTAACTTCATTGTGTAACTAAATAGGTTTCAGGTTACGATGCTTACTTGATCAGATCATTCATGTTTTAGACTTTTGAGTAAAACTTGTTGTGATTGCTGATTGAAACTTCTTAAAGTTGGATTGCATGATATTGTATCTGCTTCATGTGTGCAGAGAAGAAGAGAGAGGGAAGATCAAAGGTAGATCGTGAAGCTGATGATCAACAAGTTTTGCAGCTGGAGGAAAAAGATGTTGTATCATCTGTTGCCACTGTGCTTTCCGATTTGTGTGGTCCGGGAGACTGGATGCCTATGGAAAAACTTCATGCGGTGGTTAGTTCTTACCTGAAATTTCCATACCTTTTTCTAATACAGAACGTAGTACGAGTAATTGAAACAAGACTTGTGTAGTATCCAGGTTAGAATAAGTGTGAAGCTATGTACTTGTGTTTAAGTCTAGAAAGTATGTCAGTTACTCCACAGATTTTGAATAACTTCTTTGTGATTCAATATAATGGCTAATGCATGATAGTGGGTTGGTCTGTGACAGATATTAAAGGAGTATGGAAACGTATGGCATCACAGTCGAGTAAGAAGATACCTAACACAAGAAGACTGGGCTATCCCTGAAGCAAAGGGTAAACCATGGTACGGTTTGCTGATGCTGCTGAGAAAATACCCGGTGCATTTCGTCATCAACACTAGATCAAAGGGAAGGGTTACCCTTGAATTCGTTTCCCTCGTTACCCTACTCACATGAGAACTTGACCTTAGTGACTCCGATTGTTTGAGATTTAAGAAGCTTTTCTCTCTTTTCTTTGTTACATATGTAAAATATTTTGGCACTGATTAGTAACACGCTGTGTCGGTTTTCTGCACCAAAAACTCCAACTTCTTCTTGGTCGTTGCAGTTGAGGGATTTTGATTTTCTTTTTCTTACTAACGAACGAACCATCGAGATTTTTCTTTCGTCAAAGAGCAAAAATAATTCATGCACATCAGGGGAAAAAATAAACGTACGGATGCAATTCAGAAATCGTTAAATGTTTAGTGGAGTTGGGCCATAAACAGAGAAAAGGCCCAAACTGGCTCAAGTACGTATCCAGACAATATAAAATGGTTGGAATGTGGAAACTTAGGGTTATGCTCGTTTCTGTTGCAGCCACTAAATCAATATTCTGAGATCGAAAAAGCTTTAAAAAAAATCTGTGATCGAAGCTTAACGAGAGAGTAGAGTGAAGATGATCTATGATGTGAACTCTGTTCTGTTCAGATCCTTCCTGAGCCAGAAGGGTAGCTCGTCCGACAAAAGGTACAAAATCTTGTCTTGCCTGATCCAAATATGAGATGATCTCGATGTTGTTCCTAGATCTATCTAGTGATGTTTCATTCTTCTCTTCTTCTTAATCTCATCATCATCTTCGTATGTTTAATCAGGAAAATGGAGGACAAGCCAAGAGAACAGAAGCCCAAAGCCAGCGACAACAAACCTGTTATGAATGAATAGAGTAGATCTTCTTGTAATTTCTCTTTACCTTCTCCTGGTATTTCAGTTGTACGGATCATTTTAATGAATTAAGTTTCTTTCCTTGCAATTGCCATTTGCCAAATGGATTGGCTTCTTTGGGTTATTTATCAACTGAGTTTAGTGGCCAATTTCTTCGAGTCAAATCCCAAAATTCTCATCAAAATATGTCTGACCATTGATACCACTAAAGGAACCAATACATTCGTTTTCTTTTACTGTAACTTCTTGGTCTACTCACAAAACATTCAGTAAGTTCATCTATTGATCATAACGAGTTTCTTTGAGTCTAATTGCAAAACACCAAAAAAAAAAAAAAACCTTTCAATGAATCCTAATATCTCTGAACGTTGTTGTCACTACCAATAACCAAAACTGAACAGTCAGTTGGTAAAAATCACTAAAACCATATATGTGAATGTAAATTGCAGGCTATTATCTACATAACTAGTCAGGTTCAGTTCTGTTCCTGCACTCGCCGAAGCTTCTTCTGCACTTTAAGCTTTCGCTGACCAACCCATAGAGGAGATGCCTGAATAAGATTCATGCAAGCATTAGCAAAGTCAATCTAACACTTATGGCTTCAAGAGATCAAAGCACGTACGTACCTTTACTGCGCTCTCGGCAGCATCTGCGTGCACAAACCACACAAAACCAAACCAATCGTCCTACCAGTTTCATACAAGTACACAAAATCAGTGTTTCCATTAAAAAGAAAAAATGCTTGTTAGTAGATTACTTAATTACACTTACCAAACCAGGGTTAAAAACTTGAACTCCTCCTCTTTTGATTGGTCCAAACTGCTCAAATGCATTCTCTACCCAGTCAGTGGTTGCATTTGGAGGAAGGTTTCTAACGTGAACTGCACAACTCTCATATAACGCTGATACAAACAAACAAAAAGGTTAAATACAGTGATTCATACATCTGCAACTCAAAAACAAGACCAAAAACAAATCAAAGGTATATATTTTACCTTGAGACTCTTGATTATTCTCATTTCCAGTATCATCATCCTCTGGTTCATAAACTCTCAGTGATTCTTCATCTGCAACTTCGTTACCTCCATTTCTTAGACACTTGAAAATATGGAGGCTGCTTATAATAATCGAACTGATTGTCTTGTTACCCACCATTATTACCAGGATCTTTTGTTACGCTCATTTCCTCGCTTCTGTATATAATTCCTGGTCCAGGGGATGGAGTTTCCCAGTAACCTGATTCTCAACCAAACAAATCCGGATCCTTGAGCACAATTCTTTGACAATTAACCGAGACTATTATTTACTAACACTCCCACAAACTCACCTATATAGTCAGGTCGCTTCTTCTCCACGTAAACGCTACGCCAATCAAACATTACAGGAGAAGCCTGCATAAGATTCATGCCAAGTGCCAACAGTATCAAAACCAATCAGACAATTCTAAAATTGAACCCCAAGTAGTCAGACCAAAATGCTAGCGTGTACCTCTATTGCTGCCTGGGCGGCACTTTCTTCCTTAAACTCCACAAAGCCATAAGAAAAGCTCTACCAGTTTCAAGAACACAAATTAGTGTTTTTGTTTACCCCATTAACGATGCTTGTTAGTAGATTAGTTAACATTTACCCTTTTGTGCCTAACTTCAACTCCACCTCTTCTAATTTCTCCAAACTGCTTAAATGCATCCTCAACTAAGGTAATGGTTGCATCAGGAGGAAGTTTTTTAACGCAAATGGCTGCACCTTCAGTTATCGCTGGTAAATAAACAAAACAAAAGGTTTTAGATAAAGACACCGAAATATTGAAGCTGCTTTGTTACTCACCATCATTAGCCTCGGAGATGATGTCAACAAACTTGAACATGTCAGTCAAAACAAAGTAGCCTTTTTCTTGGGGAGCAAGAAAGAAGTTTTGTGTGAAGTTCCTTGCAGGTCTCTCTTGTGAAGTGAAGTAGCCATCAGCAACGACGAGGATACCCCCACTATGAGATTCTTGGGAGATGAAACTGGTTACCTCAACCGTATCAAAATCACTAGAAGATAGCATATCAAGATCCTCAATCATATCCTGTTCCAAGATAAGGAATCAGTAACAGACCAAAGTTACTTGAAAACGACTCAGGGTCAGGGATCATGAAAAGTATATAACCTGTAGGGTAGAGGAACGCATCGTTCCATCAAGTCCAGGCCGTGTAATCTTACTGACATCTTTATAGTAGCGAGGGAGAAGCTTCGGGGAGTTTTGCAAGGTCTTATAGTAGTTCTCTGCAAATCCATCCCCTAGCTATACGTTTTATACAGAGAGTTATAATCACAAGAAAATGAAATCCGATGGAACAGAGCATACAGTTGATTAGATTTACTATACCATTTTAGCAGAATGTTGTGCAGCAGGATCCATTGGTTCAGAGAGTTAACCAATGCCCTGAATCTAAAGATCAAATGCCAAACTCAAGATCCTTAAATCTAGCCAAGTACATAAGCATATAACCAAAGAATCCAATCTTGAGCAAAAGATTGTTAAGAAAATGAAGGAAGAAGCAAAGATTTTGCCTTTACGTTTCACCGAGGTCTGCGACACCAACTTCAATGGCGGTTTCTAGGGTTTATTCGCGAGAAGGAAGAAGCAGGTAAGAGACGAAGAGCGTGAGAGAACTTTTTTTTGATTTGGCTTTCTCGTTTCGTTTCAGTCGCAGAGAGTCCTATTTATGCAATTTCGTAAGATGTACATATTTACATTTGTTGCCACTGAGTCTGAGAGCAGCGCTAAAACGAGTCTACGTCTAACCGTTGACGCGTTGACCGTTTTATTTTGAAGGAATACAAAAAAATATATTCGATGTTGTTGGTTATATAATCTGTAATGTTTAACCGAATATGTTTATCGGTTCAAGGGCCAATGCTCAAAAGGGCAAATGACTTCCGAATTTTTTAATTCTCCTAAAACGACTAGAGAAACAATTTATCGTTAGCCTAAATTTATCTCCTTTATTGGTCACACATCCAGATTTTCAAGCTTCTCTTCTAAAACCTTAACAAAAATCCCATTCATTGATTCAAAATATGTCTTCAAGAACCAATATCTCTACGTGTTCTTTTACTGTAACTTCCTAGTCATCTCACAAATCAATCATTATAATTACATATCTAGTTTTGATCATCTTCTTCTTCTTCTTCCTCCGGAATTTGACCAGCTCCTCCTGTTTCTTTCATTTGCTCCCTTGTATATCTGTTTTGATTGTATTGTCGCCCTTCTTCCTCCTGAATCTTCCCCTGTTCCTCCGTTAAAGTCTCCCAGTTTTGGTTCTCTTCTTCTTCTTCTTCTTCCAGACCAAATTCTTCTGTTCCTCTCACTTCCTCGCTTGTATATCTGTTGTGATTGTATTGTCGTCCTTGTTCCTCCTGAAACTTCATCTGCTCCTCCGATTGATCCATAATCTTTTGCCAGTTGTGCAAGTCATAAACTTCTGTTCCTCTCGATCCCATCATTAACTTCTGCCAGACGTCTGTTTCTCTCACTTCCTCCATCATCTTCTGCCAGTTATAAAAGGGGTTACCTAGTGATCCTCTCACTCCCTCGCCTCTGTGTATGTTTCCTGGTCCAGCGGATGGACTTTCACAGTAACCTGATTCCAAACCAAACAAAACCGGAGCCTACTTGAGCACAATTCTTTGAACGTTACAGAGACTAACTAATACCTTCCACATACTCACCTTTAAGGTAAGATCGATTCTTCTGCACGGTAATTCTGTACCCAAAAATACTTAGAGGAGACGCCTGAATAAGATTCATGCCATCATTATCAAAACACCGATCAAACAGTTAAACAAGGGTCATCAAGGTCCAAAGCGCCTACCATTATTGCCCTGTTGGCGGCCTCTGCTTCCTCAAACTCCACATAAGCATATTTCCCTTTATATCTCTACCAGTTTTATACAAGTAGACAAATTAGTGTTTCCATGAAGAAGAAAGTGTTAAAACAAAATGCTTGTTAGTTGAATAACATTTTACCTTTTTGCTTCTAAGTTCAACTCCACCTCTTCTAATTTTTCCAAACTGCTTAAATGCATTCTCAACCAAGGCAACGGTTGTTTTTGTAGGAAGCCAATGAAGATAAATGCATGCCTCAGATACCGCTGGTAATAAACAAACCAAAGGTTAAAGAGAGTGTATAACTTAAACAAACAGGATAGATAAAGATAAAATAGGAGAAAATCAAATTTTTTACCTCGAGACTCCTGACTGTTCCCATTTCTAGGTTTTATCTCTGGAGAATAACCACAAGACGAAGAATGTTGATGATTGGAGTGTCCACTTACAACCGAGGCATGAGATAGCTTGGGAACATTTTCAAAACCTTGACTTGGTTCGGAAACTCTCAGTGCAGCTTCCTCCGTTTCTGGAACTTTCTCCTCCGTGACTGAACCATTCACATTAAATCTAGGTCTTAGACACTTACTTCCTTGCAAAGCAAAACATGGAGGCTGCTTAAAATTGAACTGTTACTCACCATCATTAGCAGGTGGAATGGCTGCATTAACCTCGGGTATATCAACAAACTTGAATATGTCGGTCAAAACAAAGTAGCCGTCTTCTTGGGGAGCAAGAAAGACACTTTGTGTGAAGTGCTTTGCAGGTCTCTCGTTGAAAGTGAAGCAGCCATAAACAGCCACGAGGAAACCCTGCTCATGAGAATCTTGGGACGTGACACTGGTTATCACAACCGAATCAAAACCATCAGAAGATTGCATTTTAAGATCATTCTCATCCACATCCTGTTCCAAGATTAGGACTCATTCAGAACCAAGATTTCACCAAAAGTTACTAAGTCGATCAGGAAAAGTATCTTTACCGATAAAGTGAAGACACGTATCGTTCCATCTAGTCCAGGCCGTGAAATCGTACTGTTATCTTTATAAAACGTATAGAGATTCTCCGGGGAGTTTTGCAAGGTCTGATAGTATTGCCTTGCAAATTCATCCCCCACCTACGTTTTATACAGAGAGTTACAATCACAGGAAAATATAAATGAAATCCGAAGAACAGAGCATACAGTTGTTGGATTCTATACAATACCTGTTTTGCAGAATATGAATGAGGATCCATCGATACAGAGAATAACCTGTATCTAAAGATAAGTTCCAAACGCGAAATCGTAAAAGAAATGGTGAGAAGCAGCGGCTAACACAAAAGAAATGGCTACTTGTTAAGAAGACGAAGAAAGAATCAAACAATTGTAAAGACTGTCTTCGCGTTTCTCTAAATCCCCACAACCAAATGCAAAAGATGCCGAAATCGTTGAAAGAAGACTCACCGCGAGGGAGAGAGAGAGAGAGAGAGAGATGTTTGTGGTAGTGAAGAAGATTGAATATGAGTAGCTCCAAGTTCTGCGAGACCCACGTTAATGGCGGTTGCTAGGGTTTATTCGCAAGAAAGAAGTAGCACAATGAGAGACGAAGAGCGCGAGAGAAAGAAGCTGACAACTTTTTTTTGATTTGGCTTTCTCGTTTCGGTTTCAGTCGCAGAGAGTCCTATTTATGCAATTTCGTAAGATATACATATTTACATTTATTGCCACTGAGCAGCGCTAAAACGAGTCTACGTCCAACCGTTGACCGTTTTATTTGGAAGGAAGAGTAAAAAATAGTCAACGTTGTTGGTTATATAATCTGTTATTATGGTTAACCGAATATGTTATCTATGTAATTATATTTATGCTCACATTAAACGTAATTAAAGTTTCTATGTGGATTATACTACTGTATTTAGCTTAAATTTATCTCCTTTAATGGTCACACACCCAGATTTTCAAGCTTTCTCTTCTAAAACCTTCACACAAATCCCGTCCATTGATGCCACTTTAAGAACCAATATCTCTGCGTGTTCTTTTACTGTAACTTCCTAGTCAACTTACATATCAATCATTATAATTACATATATAGCTAGTCAAAATTAGTTTGGATTCTCTTCTTTTTCCTCCGGAATTTGACCAACTCCTCCTGTTTCTTTCATTAGTAGCCAGTTTCATCGAGTCAAAATTCCAAAATTCCTCATGAAAAATCCCATTGATTGATCCATAATAAGTCTGACCATTGATGCCACTAAATTAAAGGAAACAATCAGTAAGTTATTTTATATATACTGTATGATCATAAAACACCCAAATAAAAAGCCTCAATATCTTCTACATAACTAGTCAGGTTCAGTTTTGATTCCTCTTCTTGTTCCTCCAGAAACTTCCTATGTTCCTCCATTATCTGCTCATAGTCCCAAGAATGAACAACTTCTGTTTGTCCCGCTTCCTCCTGAAGCTTACTCGCTGATAAATAAACAAAAGATATATGTCAAATAGAGTTGATAAAATATGAAGGCTGCTTACAATTGAACTGATACCATTATTAGCTTCGTGAGCTTCTGTTCCTCTCACTTCTTCACCAACTCCTCCTGTTTCTTTCGTTTTCTCCCTTGTATATCTGTTTTGATTGTATTGTCGCCCTTCTTCCTCCTGAATCTTCCTCTGTTCCTCCGTTAACTTCTCCCAGTTTTGGTTCTCTTCTTCCTCCAGACCAACAACTCCTTCTGTTCCTCTCACTTCCTCGCTTCTATATCTGTTTTGATTGTGTTGTCGTCCTTCTTCCTCCTGAAACTTCATCTGCTCCTCCGATTGATCCATAATCTTTTGCCATTTGTGCAAGTCATAAACTTCTGCTCCTCTCGATCCCATCATTAACTTCTGCCTTACGTCTATTCCTCTCACTTCCTCCATCATCTTCTGCCGGTTACAAAAGGGGTTACCTAGTGATCCTCTCACTCCCTCGCCTCTGTGTATGTTTCCTGGTCCAGCGAATGGGCTTTCACAGTAACGGCCTGATTCTAAAACCAAACAAAACTAGAGCCTTCAGGGCAATTCTTTGATCGTTACATAGACTAACTAATACCTCCCACATACTCACTTTTATAGTAAGGTAGCTTCTTCTCCACGTCAGTTGTATACCCATCAATATTTAGAGGAGACGCCTGAATAATATTCATGCCAGCATTATCAAAGTCAATCTAACACTTGTGGTTTCAAGAGATCAAAGTGAATCCTTAACCAAGATCAGAGCAAATGTATAAAAAAGGTCCAGGTCCAAAGCACGTACCTTTATTGCCCTCTCGGCAGCATCTGCTTCCTCAAACTCCACAAAAGCATACCAATAGTTCTACCAGTTTCATACAAGTGTAACCAAATTAGCGTCGTTTCCATTAATAAGAAAAATGCTTGTTAGTAGATTACTCAACACTTACCGACTTAGCAGGGTTTCTAACTTGAATTCGTCCCTTTTTAATTTGTCCAAACTGCTTAAATACCCTCTCAACCAAGGCAATGGTTGCATTTGGAGGAAGGTTTTGAACACAAATGCCTGCAGCTTCCTCAAATTTTTTACCTTGAGACTCCTGACTGTTCCCATTTCCAGTATCATCACCTGCATCAGCTTTTATATCTGTAGAATGATCACAAGACGAAGAGTGTTGACCTGATTCTGAACCAAACAAAACTAAAGCCTTGAGAACAATTGTTTAACAGTTACAGAGACTAACTAATACTCACTTTTGTAGTAAGGTTGCTTCTTCTCCAAGTAAATTCTGTACCCATCAATACTTAGAGGAGACGCCTGAATAAGATTCATGCCAGCATTATCAAAGCACCGATCAAACAGTTAAACAAGGGTCATCAAGGTCCAAAAGCGCCTACCATTATTGCCCTGTTGGCGGCATCTGCTTCCTCAAACTCCACATAAGCATATTTCCCTTCATAGTACTACCAGATTTATACAAGTAGACAAATTAGTGTTTCCATGAAGAAGAAAGTGTTAAAAAAAAATCTTGTTAGTTGAATAACATTTTACCTTTGTGCTTCTAACTTTAACTCCACCTCTTCTAATTTCCCCAAACTGCTTAAGTGCATTCTTAACCAAGGCAATGGTTGCATTTAGAGGAAGATTTTTCACACAAATGGCTGCACCCTCAGATACCACTGGTAATAAACAAACCAAATGTTAAAGAGAGATTGTAAATAAACAAACATGATAGATAAAAGATATAAAATGGGAGAAAATCAATTTTTTTACTTTGAGACTCCCGACTGTTCCCATTTATAGGTTTTATCTCTGGAGAATAATCACAAGACGAAAAATGTTGACCTTGACCTATTCGTATTTCCTTCATCACCTTCACGTATTATTAATTATATGAGTACCCAAATCCCGAAGTTAAACATGTAGATTATTGTGGAGTGTCCACTTACAACAGAGGCATAAGATAGCTTGGGGACATTTTCAGAAACTCTCAGTGCAGCTTCCTCTGTTTCTGGAACTTTCTCCTCTATGACTGAACCATTAGCATTAAATCAAGGTCTTAGACACTTTCTTCGCAAAGCAAAATGTGGAGGCTGCTTAAAATTGAACTGTTACTCACCATCATTAGCCTCGGGTATATCAACAAACTTGAACATGTCGGTCAAAACAAAGTAGCCTTTTTCTTGGGGAGCAAGAAAGAAACTTTGTGTGAAGTTCCTTGCTGGTCTCTCGTTGAAAGTGAAGTAGCCATAAACAGCGACGACAATACCCTTCTCATGAGAGTCTTGGGACGTGACACTGGTTACCTCAACCGAATCAAAACCACCAGAAGATTGCATTTTAAGATCATTCTCATCCACATCCTGTTCCAAGATTAGGACTCATTCAGAACCAAGATTTCACCAATGTTTAACTAAGTCAATGAGGAAAAGTATCTTTACCGATAAAGTGAAGACACGCATCGTTCCATCGAGTCCAGGCCGTGAAATCTTACTGTTGTCTTTATAAAGCAGATAGATATTTTCCGGGGAGTTTTGCAAGGTCTGATAGTATTGCCTTGCAAATTCATCCCCCACCTACGTTTTACACAGAGAGTTACAATCACAGGAAAATGAAATCCGAAGAACAGATCATACAGTTGTTGGATTCTCTATAATACCTGTTTTGCAGAATATGGATGAGGATTCATCGATGCAGAGAATAAGCAATGCCCTGTATCTAAAGATCAAGTTCCAACGCAAAATCGTTAGATCTTGCGAACATAATCATAAAAGAAATGGCTTATCTGTTAAGAAGATGAAGAAAGAAGTATAAAGATTGTCTTCGCGTTTCACTAAATCCCCACAACCAAACGCGAAAGATGCCGAAATCGTTGAAAGCAGACTCACCTGAAATTACACCGAGGGGGATAGAGAGATGTTTGTGGTAGTGAAGAAGATTGAATATGAGTAGCTCCGAGTTCTGCGAGACCCACGTCAATGGCGGCTCCTAGGATTTATTCGCGAGAAGGAACAAGCACAGTAAGAGACGAAGAGCGCCAGAGAAAAAGATGCTGAAATTTTTATTTTTATTTTCGTTTCACTCGCAAAGAGTCAGCCCTATTTATGCAATTTCGTAAGATGTTTTTTTTTTTTTTTTGATAAACAATTTCGTAAGATGTTTATATTGACAATCAGTTATATACTTAAATCTGTTATGGTTAACTGATTTTTTTTTTCGTTTTCTTTTCGTAGAGAAGCCGAAAGATTTTCAAGTTTTTCATGGGACCAATTGCCGGAAATTGTTAAATCTTTTAAATGTTTCTTTTACCAAAGAATATTTGTTGACGAATTCAATCAAATCATATGAAACCGAATAGACAAATATATATACTCCCTCCGTTTTCGAATAGTTGTCGTTTTAGAACTTTTTTTTGTTTTAAATTAGTTGTCGTTTTAAGGTAATAATGTAATTTATGCCAATAACTACCCAAATTACTCTCATTTTAATTGAACACAAATTATTTGTAAATAATTATTTGTCATTTTTATGAGGTTAATATAGTCATTGTATACATTTTCTTAATTTGTCCAAATACAGTTAAAACGACAACTTTTAAAAAACAGAGGGAGTATGTAACTACGAATTCTTCATTTTTACTAATGCGTTAAGAAGACGTGACAATGCAACAAAATTAAGTGTTAAATTAGTTGAAAAATGTTAAGAAGAAAAAACAAAAATCTAAGAAACCACCGATAGAGATGAAACTCAAAATGTCCATCAGTGAAACATATATACATAAAAAGTAAAAAACACAAGACAAAGAGTATAAAGATGAAGCTGTAGTTCACAAAGTTGAGGGAACAACAGTTATATGCCTCAACGGATGTGACACATTAGTCCCACCGGCGTGAACGATGAACTCAGCCGGCGAGAAAGACGTTCCATGGCAGACACAGATTATACTGATCTCTGATTTTGAGTACCGGTATAGAAAGCCATTTACGGTTTTGCCCTCGGGACCGTTGCCGGTGCTAGTCACGCAAGGCATCTGAGCAAACGGAAGCAAACTGCCGTTACCGTTACTGTTGGTATGCGGTTTTGGTGGCTTCCCAGTCTTTTTTGTTACAGAGTTGGACAATGCTTGGGTCTCCACTACCACCGCATCTTTTGAACCGTCTGTGCTATGCACGGTTTGCTCTGTACCAATCCCAATGTTGTTAACCGGAGGTCCAACCGGTTTGGTTTGGCCAGATTGTGCCCCAATATCGCCACTTCCACCTGAAGATTAACCATAATTGATAATTCCGAATCATCTTCATGCACATACCATAATTTTCGTGAATCAATAGAATCAACAAGAACTGTAATATCTTTTGACCCAAAAAAAAGCTATAATAACGTTATATAATACTATAAAAGAGATGCTAGGAAATATAATTTTTGTATTTGTTGGGGTTAATTAATATTAAATCAAATTCAAACCTCATCAAACATTTTGTTATTGACAATTTTTTTTCTTTTTCTAATTTAAGTTTTGGAAAGTAACATTTTAATTAAAAAGATTGCAAATATAAACGAAGTTAATTAAAAACATTGTCGATAGAAATTCAAAAATTTTAGTGTATACTTATATGTATCCCTTTCAAATAATCATTAAATATAATTAATCTTATTTTCCTATAGAATCCCGACTTTGTCCAAATATTTATAGAGATACCAATTAAACATTAATTATAAAAATGTAGTTATATACCTTCGTGGCGAGAAGAGCTGCTGGGATCGGATACGTCGGAGGAGGTGCAAATGGGTGACCCAATCGTAACGTCTTTACGGTTTTCCTTAAGTTGACCCGACCCGTAACCGTTACCCATTTTGCTAAAGCTCAAATCCATATCCTCGCCGTTAGTAACTCCGTTACATTCTGTTCTCATCCTCTTGCACTCTTCTTCTTCTCCGCTTCTCTGCTGCTGCTTCGCCTCCCGCTTCTTCCGCGTTTCCTTTATCCTCGTCACATTCGTCGTTTCATCCTCAAGATTAACGCCGGTACCCTTTGCGCATTCGACGGATTCAGATGGTCCTATTGGTTTAGATTTCTCTGTTTTCTTGAAAGGACCTCCCAGGGAAAGACATAGCTCTAGCTCGACGTCCACATTCTCATCTTCTCCAAACTTCGTTGTCATTGATAAAGATTCAACAAACATATAATGTCAAAAAGAAAATCCAAAAAGAAATGGTTTCTTGTCTTCTGCAAAGTTGTTCTCTTGAAGGGTTTTGAAGCTTCGCCAACTTTTTGTAAGAGAAAGGAATATTATAAGAGGCGGAGATAATTAAAAAGAGAAGGGAAGGCTTTGGAACATGACACATGTCCGATAAGGATAGTTGGACATGGGCGGTTTCAAATTACACGTAAGATTCATAATGAATCTGTTAATTAGGAGAAAGGTTAAGGAACTATATTAGCGCTACAACTTCGGATTATCGATAAACGCTTTCCATTTATTTTGTTGGTTTTCTATTTCCAATGGTTGTAAAAATCAACGTAAAATTATGACGAAAAGTACCAAGGCCGCCACGTGTAACACGTGCATGAAAACAGTTAACACGTGTACTTTGATATCCTGCTGGCTTGACGAGGACACGTTTGAGTTTTCAGTTTCTCTGTCTCGTATCTGACTCCGCGAATCTCGAGCACGAACACGACTCCGTGATTGACACGTGTCGAGCATCTTCGATAGACAGTGTAATATGTTAGACAGTCCAGGTCAGCAAATGACGCCGTTACGGTTAATCTCATCTGATGTGTGTCCACGTGGTTCATGTTGGCCGGATTCATGGGCACGTGGTAGATGACAAATGGCGGTAAAGAAACTATGTGGTGATAAATGACTCGTGTCTTGCTTCGAATCGTGGAACAGCTTGTTGAAGTTGCTTATAGCTTAGCTATCAAAAGTTCCAGCCTTCCTCTTGCATGAATTGCACCTGGAAAGTGGAAAGAAAGAAGATTCTTTGAATATATATTCGAAAAATAGCAAAGTTAATGTTCTTTTTCTTCTTGTGATTTTTAATTTTATTTTTAAATTGCAAACAAAGATTTTAGAAAAAGAAAACCATGCTTAACTTTGCTATTTTTTTACCAAAATGTGACGGTATTTTTATGACCTTTCTGTTTCAAAAAAAAAAAAAAAACGTTTAATTAGCTAAGGTTTTCGATTATTATTATGCTTGGTCTTTATTTATATCATCAAGTATTCAAGTCCTTGATTCAATTGTCTTCTAGTATAAGTTTGCTTTACCCGCGGTTGATGCTCTATATTCCTTCCAATTATCACATGATTCATATTTCATGTCATGCTTAGAGCATCAGCAGTGCGGCACTCAAGAAGATAGACGTGAGGCAAATTAAATTAGTAAAATAAAGTTAGAGAGGAGAGAGGAGAGATGAGGAACAGAGGAGGAACACAGAGGAAAAATGAAAAATTGTTTTCATCGAAGGAACAGAGAGGAGAGATAAAAACAAATTTTTAATATAAAAAAATCAGAACCAACCAAACAAAGACACCTGCCCCTCACACTCGGTTGTAAACTAACACTCGCATACATATTCCAAGTGCACTGTTCTCTTACTTTTAATTATTTTAATACTCACACCCATACACAAAATTTACCATTGTGTATGCTCTTATCAGATAAGGTTTGACAAAATATTACAAACTAATAAGTCATGTGTTTATGGACATTAAGGGGGGTGTATTGGAACTATAATTTTAGAAGATTTGGTGGAATTTGAATATTTTAGGTTTTTGAGAGATTTGATAAGTTTTAAAAATATTTGGGTTGATTTGTTAGGCTATTTATTTTTTTAAATGATTGGTGATTTGGTGAGATTTTGAGGGGAGTTTATTATTTAACTTTGAGTGATTTGGGATACTTTAGAACAAAAAAAAACAAAAAAAAAAAAAAGAAAAAAAACTAACTGGGTTTCACGAACGAAATTGTGACCAATCAAACCCCACCATTGAATTGTTTTTTTTGGTGAATCCACCATTGAATTGTTTAAACGGTGCTCTGCTCTCATGATCATCTTCTCCTCTCCGAGGATTATTTGGTGTTTGTGATGTTGTTGTGGCGTTGATCTCATGTGATGTGCCCATTGAGATTTTTAATCCTACATATTCTACCAACAAATATATCGGAATAATGTTTCAGTTTGGTTGGGTTTCATAACTTGTGTGGCTTCAATTCTGTCTCGTGAAGCAAAAGATATAAACATAAAACCAAATGAAACATCATAAGAGAAACCACACATAGGACTAACTCAAACTTTAGATGTAAATATGCAACTTTTGAAGCTAAGCAATAGTAATTTGATATTTGACATTGGTGCAATCTTGTGTGGCACCAAGATTGCATGTTTGCTAAAACGTCACCATGTCTGCATAAACAAAATAACAAGAAACCCACAAAACCAGCTTCTTAAATAGTGCTCTGCAAATTTTTTATGTATCCCCTAAGGTTTCATGCACCTTTAATAAAAAAGAAAGACCTGATAACATTTGAGAATCAGAACTTAGAGAGGGAAAGACCATTACTGATTTTGAAAATTTTGTATCTTGATGAATTATATCTGAACAAAAAGTTACTTAGGGGAAGTCAAACAAGCAGTTGAATTATCCCCTAGTATATGTTATCTCGTAGATAAGAATCAAAACAAAAAGCTACGAAACTTCTAAAGACCAAATCAAAACAACAAACCAAACCTTCGGAAAAGCTAAAGGACGACTGACCTGAGTATCCTTTCCTTTTAACTATATACTATAACACCATTGAATTGTTACTACAGACAAAAACATAATTGAACTTTCACTGAATGAAGTGAAAAAGGGAGCAAACAACCATTTGTAATCTCTGATTCGTTTCCAATTTCGCAACATCAGTCAAGAGCTTGACACCAAGTTCATCGAGAACCGTTAATTTCAGAGACTCTTCAAAAAACTTTATGAGTTGCTATCTCAAACTTCCTATGAATGTTCACTTGCTGTCACGAAGTTACAATAACGAACGAAAAAAAAGATCAGAAGGAAGAAGCATAAAGACAAGAGCGGAGAATGATCAGAGTTTCTACATTCTCGA